AATACCCAACTTGAAGCTATACTACAAAGCTACTGTGATAAAAACAGCATGGTACTGGCAAAGAAACAGACCTGAGGATCAGTGGAATAGATTTGAAGATGCAGAAACAACTTCAGACATACTCAGCCACTTCATCTTTGACAAAGGAGCCAACCACCCTCACTGGAGGAAAGATAGCCTGTTTAATAAATAGTGTTGGAAAAACTGGATTTCAACCTGTCAGAGATTAAAACTAGACCCATACCTATCACCATGCACTCAACTGAGATCGAAGTAGATTAAAGATCTAAATATTAAGACAGAAACACTAAACTTGCTGGAAGATAAGTTAGGTAGAACTCTTGAAGATATTGACATAGGAAAAGACTTTATGAACAAAACCTCAGAAGCACGGGAACTAGCAGAAAGAATCAACAACTGGGATTTCATCTTATTGAAAAGCTTCTGCGCTGCAAGAGAAACCACCAACAGAGCTAAGAGACAACCTAAATGTGGGAATAAAATTTTAGCAGCTGTCCCTCAGACAAAGGACTATTATCTAGAATATATATAAAGAACTGAAGGGGCTGGGGATTTAGCTCAGCGGTTTCGCCGCCTGCTGCGCAAGCACAAGGACCCGAGTTCGATCCCCAGTACCAAAACAAACAAAAAAAGAAGACAAAAAAAGAACTGAAAAAAATCAGGACCCCCCCCCAAATTCAAAGACCCAATTCAAAAATGAGCATCTGAAATGAACAGACATTTCTCAGACAAAGAAGTAAAAGCAGCAAATAAACATATGAAAAAATGTTCAACTGCACTGATCATTTGAGAGACGCAGATGAAAACAACACTGAGATTCCACTTCATCCCAGAAAGAATGGCTGCTATCAAGAAATCAACCAATAACAAATGCTGGCGGGGCTGTGGAGAGAAAGGAGCCCTTCTCCATTGTTGGTGGGAGTGCAGACTGGTGCAAGCACTGTGGAAATCCATGTGGAGATACCTCAGAGAACTAGCATTAGAGGTCCCATTTGACCCAGCTATTTCCCTGCTGGATATCTTCCCAAAAGAATTAAAAGAATCATTACCCTTGTTTATTGCAGCACAGTTTGTAATAGCTAAAGCTTGGAAACAGCCCAAGTGTCCATCAACTGGAAACTGGATAAAGAAGATGTGGTTTTTTAATAAAATGGAGTACTACTCAGCCATAAAGAACGAAAAACTAGAGTCATTTATAGCTA